AGCTGACTTGTCTTTGCTCTGTGTGTTTGTAATTTAATATAGTTACAAGAAGACATCTGAAACCTTGTCCCAGGCTGGACAGAAGGCCTCAGCTGCTTTTTCGTCTGTTGGCTCAGTCATCACCAAAAAACTGGAAGACGTAAAGTATGTCCTCATTTTTCCTTGCTCATTAAGTAGCTGACGCAAATTAAAATGTTTTTGTGGCTGCATCTGTTTCCTGATCTTGGCTCTAGTTGATGCTAGCTACTCCTGTTAGAGTGAGGGAGGGCACTCCTTCAAACAAGTACCTGGAAGGCTCAAACCAGTATCTAGGTCTTCTAGGCCTAGCATTCTAACATCAGATAATCATCTGATCATCATTTAAGGTTGTTGAAAAATTCTGGTTGTGAACTTTTGTGTCTTTTTAGTTCTTCAGGCTCATGCAGGGTAAGTATGTCTTGGGTGCAAATTTGTGGACAGAGCCTAGTGTCTTACTGGGGATGACTACAGGAACACTGAAGTGCACGCTTCGATTGAGACCTGGCTTCATGTTCTGTATGTGACATTTTATGCCATGGTGTGATTACAACATGCTCATCCTTGCACCGATTTATACTAACCTGTAAGCTGTAACTACATTCATGCTTAGGCCATAATCTTGATTTTGAGTTTTTGTTTGTTTGTACTTTAGATTAGTCTGCAGAGTTTTCCTTGCCATTTTGATAAAACCGCTTCACAGTGCTTTTGTGCCCCGCTTCACTCATGTGGATTAGAACAGTGATGAAAATGACAAATGTGGTTTAAGTCAGCTGTGCTTCTGTTGGCATGCAAGATTTGTATTTAAAAAAACACTCAGATTGCATGGATCTGCGCCTTGCATTTGTGGGGAAAGTGTATCTTATAACCAGAATTTGTTGGTCAAATAGGTTTGGTCAATTTATGTGTTATACTTGATAGCAAAAGAACTAAATTCCTCTCATTATATTGAGATCATCATCTTCTAAGCATAATGTAATAAATATAGCTTTCTTGAACTCTTTCGACAATTATGTACGCACGCATCTATTAGGTGTTCATTTTCTGTATGCTGACTGAATTGTGTAGCAGTTTAGAGCCCAGGAAAAACACTGTATGTTTAAAATTTAGGTTACTTAATTATTTTAGATTTATTGGAACTTCCTTTCTTTTTTAATGCTTACTCTGGCTTTTTACAGATTGCAAGCCTTTTCACACTCCTTTAGGTAAGGAGAGTTCGAATCATCACTGCAGTCCAGCAGTTGTATAAGAAGTGTGCTGAGATTAGATCATATGCTACATTGGGTGATCATGTTTGTCCAGTACATAATTTTCTTGCGTTTGGAGTATCTTTTTCTCTAGTGCATTCGTAATTTCAAGGGAGGGTTTCTTGTATACCATGAGTAATTGATAAATTAAAAGAAGTATTTGACACTGTGGTTCAAGGGATGTGGAAATAATTTTGACATTTCTTTTTTACTTTTTTCTTTGGTAAAAAGAAGCAGCTTTACCATGGCATGCAAAATTCCTCCCTTTTAATGTCTGACTTTGTTTGTTTGTTTTTGATGCTTTTGTTTCTTTGGTGCTTTTGTAAGGATGTTGGAATTCTTCACCTGGGTTTCATTACGCAATTGTAATAGACTGCATATGGACTGCCTCCTGATGTTAGTCATCCATCTTCTATGGGCTACTCTACTTTTTTCTTATTGTGGTAAAATATACATAAGGTAAAATCTACCACTACTCTGCACTTTTTTTTTTGAGATGGAGTTTCGCTCTTGTTACCCAGGCTGGAGTGCAATGGCAGGATCTCAGCTCACCGCAACCTCTGCCTCCTGGGTTCAGGCAATTCTCCTACCTCAGCCTCCTGAGTAGCTGGGATTACAGGCATGCACCACCATGCCTAGCTAATTTTTTGTATTTTTAGTAGAGATGGGGTTTCACCATGTTGACCAGGATGGTCTTGATTTCTTGACCTCGCGATCCACCCACCTCGGCCTCCCAAAGTGCTGGGATTACAGGCTTGATACTCTGTACTTTTTAATACTTATTTTAGCTTGTAGTTTTTACTATTTTATTATTTCTTTACACTTGTTATACTCTTTATGTACACAAGGCAACTTCATGGTTTGAAAAAGGAGAAAGTATATTAAGGTAAAAAAAGTGCATTAAAAAGATTAGCTCAGAGCATGCCTTACAGATAGAGACTTCATGATGTTGAGCAAACCTCTCTTTCCCAGGCAGACTCTCTGATTATCTAATTAGTTGTTGGAGGAAACTAAGGTGGAGGAAAATCTTTAGAGTGTATGCAGGAAGGATAATATAGTCGTCTTCATCTCTATTCCTACTGATGCAGACTATTTTCTTAAATAATCACTAGCGGTAGTCTAGCTACTTGCCTTTTTAAGTAAGCAAACAGGTACTTACAGCTACTGTCTTGGTGACACTTATCCCTGGAAGTCAGAGTAAATCATAGGGATATATAAACTCTAAATGTTGAACTATTTAAAGCTAAAATTATGCTTAAAGAAATCAAGTAACCAATGATAGATAATTGTATATCGTTGGCATTCAATTAAAAAGTGCTGTAAGTAACTGAATACAGAGCCAGTCACATCATCCATTCTGCTGACATTAGAGTGTCTACTGTGGACAAATCCTATGAGCATATCCATAAAGAAGACATGGCTTTTATTAGAATCAAGCTTCACTTCTTAGTGTGGAGTAGGGGAAGAGTGGGGACTTGGGATAAGTTAAGAATGGAGGCCGGGCGCGGTGGCTCATGCCTGTAATCCCAGCACTTTGGGAGGCCAAGGCAGGCAGATCACGAGATCAGGAGATCAAGACCATCCTGGCTAACATGGTGAAAACCCTGTCTCTACTGAAATACAAAAAATTAGCCTGATGTGGTTGCGTGTGCCTGTAGTCCCAGCTACTTGGGAGGCTGAGGCAGGGAATTGCTTGAACCTGGGAGGCAGAGGTTGCAGTGACCTGAGATCACACCACTGCATTCCAGCCTGGCAACAAAGCGAGACTGTCTCCAAAAAAATAAAAAAATAAAAAATAAAAATAAAAGAGCCTCATCAGTACTGGTTATAAAATTTAGATGTGATACAAACATCAATATAAGATAAAAAAGTAAGGACTATTGAGAATGATGTTTCTTCAGTGTATATCACTAAACTTTTCTATACCTTTAAAGAATACCTTTCTATACCTTAAAGCTGTACCTAGGTATGGCCCAGTATGTGCTGTCTTATGAATTCATCAGCAACAAATTGCATTTTGCAACTCTTTTCTAGCTCCTTTATTGTCACTGTCCATTTGATTTAAAAAATATAATTTAGATTATGCTGTACCATTTTCAGTCTTGTTTTTAAAGAATATTAAGTTTTTATGAATATTTAATTGCCCATCAGTATGTGGAGGTTAAAGTAAGGCTTTTGATTAAAGTCTGGATATGAAAAATATGAGATTATCTTTTGAAAGGTAATCTTTGTAATTCTCGCAAATCAAAGGTTGGATAAAGGCACTTTAAAAGATAATTTCAAGGCCAAGAAGTCCTGATTGTGTTCTGAGTTAATGTGCTCACATATATAAAGAAAACCTACATCTTTTAGATTATGTGAGGCACATATTGGCCATGTTCCCCCAAGACCTATCCAAAGAAAGGGAGCTTGGGCTGTAGACTTCGAGTGTTCCAATCCCAGCAGCAAGTCGTTTTCTCCCATGGAGATGGATGCAGGAGGCCCCTTTTGCTGAGTGCTCCGAAATAGTTGATTAATCCCACTCAATATTTGTTCTGAGTCCATTTTACCTGGCAAATTTACACCAGTGATTTTACTCCCTGATACAATTATGGATATAGAGGGAGAAAATGCACCAGTTTTGTCAACCTGAATGTATTAGACTCAGCAACAGTTTTTATTTTACATAGTTGATAAATCAGCACTTGGATTTAGGTATTTGCCTATGCCTTGGTTGGAGAAGTGAGATGCATAAGGAAATGGGGAGAGAGAGCGGGCTGCTTCTGATGTCCTGAGAATGAGGTGTGGTAGTAGCAAGGCCACGGAGGACGTGGTCATGAGTGCTGTCCTAGTAGGCCCTCTGGGGAAGCCCACTTTTCCCTCATGTGGTATGCTTATATTTCCCTTCCTGTTTCCATATTTTCTATGCATATATGAAGTATAATATAAAGTAGATGTTAATTCATGTTTCAGTTAAAGTCATGTGTTATAATAACAGTTATTAACGTTTATAAGCCCAGCGAGACCACAGTACCTCAGAAGTGGGGGCTATTATGGTTTTAATATTAGAGATGAGGAAACTGAGCCATAGAGAGATTAAGTGACTTCCCTAAGGTCGCACAGCAGGTGTTAAGTGGCTGATCATCAGGACTGGAACCAAGCATGCCTAGTCCTGGAGTCTGCACTGTCCTCCTGGGCCTCCCCAGAGCAGTGGTGGTTTAAGACATTGCCCTTCTGGACACTGTTCAGCAGTCACTTTGGACAGTAGCTGCTGTGATCACTGACATCAAGAGATCATGTGAGGGCAAAGTGGAATAATACTACATTGATAGCTCTGAAAAGCATACGTGGTACATAGTAAGCTTTCCAACATGTTTGCCATGACCTCTTCCTTTTCTTCCTCCCCCTGCTGCTACTTCCTTTTCCTCCCTTTACCCCCTTCCCTCTTATTAGTATTAGGGATGAAAGGATCAGGTAACTATGTTAGAAACAAGCACTTAAAAAAAATTGTAAATTATTTCTTCCTTGATGATTTAGAGGGACTGTCTTCAAACCAGTAGAGATATTTCATACATAATACCTGGCTATTTTCTAACCAATTGAATAATTTGTTGCAATAAGCTATCTCATGTCTTTTCACAAGGAATACATTAAATTTGAGTAGTAAAGATGTTACATAATGACTTAGGACACAATTTAAATTTGCTTTAAATATTTCTTTGGGGGAGGGGACACCACACTTCTCAATGAAGAGAAACATTTTCATAGTCCAGAGGTCTTTTATTAACACGTATTATGCCATGAATTCATATGGAATGGGCTCCAGTAGCTCAGGCTCCTTCCCATTGGTTCTCACACAGTGTGCTTCTCTGGGTGGAGCAGGCTGGCGCTTCAGTTGAACCCAAGTGCCTTTCTCTTTGGCTTCTTTCTTTTTCTGATCATATTCCTTCGTGTGAGAAACAAGGATTTTTAAAAAATCAATTCAGCTGTTTTAATAAAATGACTTTTTCAAAGTAAGAGTAATGCAGTATGAGATTGGAAAATACTTAGTAAGAATCAGATTATCCTGATTTTTTTTCAGTGTTTCACTGAAACATATTTAGTAGGTATGTGCTGGATAAAGTGGTATAGAGCTGAGCCAGTCCACTGCTGGAGAAAGTGATATAAGTGGCATAGAGCCGAGCCAGTCCACTGCTGGAGAAAGTGATATAAGCGGCATAGAGCCCAGCCAGTCCACTCTGGAGAAAGTGATATAAGCGGCATAGAGCCCAGCCAGTCCACTCTGGAGAAAGTGATATAAGCGGCATAGAGCCCAGCCAGTCCACTCTGGAGAAAGTGATATAAGCAGGATAGAGCCCAGCCAGTCCACTCTGGAGAAAGTGATATAAGCAGGATAGAGCCCAGCCAGTCCACTCTGGAGAAAGTGATATAAGCGGCATAGAGCCCAGCCAGTCCACTGCTGGAGAAAGTGATATAAGCAGGATAGAGCCCAGCCAGTCCACTCTGGAGAAAGTGATGTAAGCAGGATAGAGCCCAGCCAGTCCACTCTGGAGAAAGTGATATAAGCGGCATAGAGCCCAGCCAGTCCACTCTGGAGAAAGTGATATAAGCGGCATAGAGCCCAGCCAGTCCACTCTGGAGAAAGTGATATAAGCGGCATAGAGCCCAGCCAGTCCACTCTGGAGAAGGTGATATAAGCGGCATAGAGCCCAGCCAGTCCACTCTGGAGAAAGTGATATAAGCGGCATAGAGCCCAGCCAGTCCACTGCTGGAGAAAGTGATATAAGCAGGATAGAGCCCAGCCAGTCCACTGCTGGAGAAAGTGATGTAAGCAGGATAGAGCCCAGCCAGTCCACTCTGGAGAAAGTGATATAAGCAGGATAGAGCCCAGCCAGTCCACTCTGGAGAAAGTGATGTAAGCAGGATAGAGCCCAGCCAGTCCACTCTGGAGAAAGTGATATAAGCAGGATAGAGCCCAGCCAGTCCACTCTGGAGAAAGTGATATAAGCGGCATAGAGCCCAGCCAGTCCACTCTGGAGAAAGTGATGTAAGCGGCATAGAGCCCAGCCAGTCCACTCTGGAGAAAGTGATATAAGCGGCATAGAGCCCAGCCAGTCCACTCTGGAGAAAGTGATATAAGCGGCATAGAGCCCAGCCAGTCCACTCTGGAGAAAGTGATGTAAGCAGGATAGAGCCCAGCCAGTCCACTCTGGAGAAAGTGATGTAAGCAGGATAGAGCCCAGCCAGTCCACTCTGGAGAAAGTGATGTAAGCAGGATAGAGCCCAGCCAGTCCACTCTGGAGATAGAGCCCAGCCAGTCCACTCTGGAGAAAGTGATGTAAGCGGCATAGAGCCCAGCCAGTCCACTCTGGAGAAAGTGATATAAGCAGGATAGAGCCCAGCCAGTCCACTCTGGAGAAAGTGATATAAGCAGGATAGAGCCCAGCCAGTCCACTCTGGAGAAAGTGATATAAGCGGCATAGGGCCCAGCCAGTCCACTCTGGAGAAAGTGATATAAGCGGCATAGAGCCCAGCCAGTCCACTCTGGAGAAAGTGATGTAAGCAGGATAGAGCCCAGCCAGTCCACTCTGGAGAAAGTGATATAAGTGGCATAGAGCCCAGCCAGTCCACTCTGGAGAAAGTGATGTAAGCAGGATAGAGCCCAGCCAGTCCACTCTGGAGAAAGTGATGTAAGCGGTATAGAGCCCAGCCAGTCCACTGCTGGAGAAAGTGATATAAGCGGCATAGAGCCCAGCCAGTCCACTCTGGAGAAAGTGATATAAGCGGCATAGAGCCCAGCCAGTCCACTCTGGAGAAAGTGATGTAAGCGGCATAGAGCCCAGCCAGTCCACTCTGGAGAAAGTGATATAAGCAGGATAGAGCCCAGCCAGTCCACTCTGGAGAAAGTGATATAAGCAGGATAGAGCCCAGCCAGTCCACTCTGGAGAAAGTGATATAAGCGGCATAGAGCCCAGCCAGTCCACTCTGGAGAAAGTGATGTAAGCGGCATAGAGCCCAGCCAGTCCACTCTGGAGAAAGTGATATAAGCAGGATAGAGCCCAGCCAGTCCACTCTGGAGAAAGTGATATAAGCGGCATAGAGCCCAGCCAGTCCACTCTGTAGAAAGTGATATAAGCGGCATAGAGCCCAGCCAGTCCACTCTGTAGAAAGTGATATAAGCAGGATAGAGCCCAGCCAGTCCACTCTGGAGAAAGTGATGTAAGCAGGATAGAGCCCAGCCAGTCCACTCTGGAGAAAGTGATGTAAGCGGTATAGAGCCCAGCCAGTCCACTGCTGGAGAAAGTGATGTAAGCAGGATAGAGCCCAGCCAGTCCACTCTGGAGAAAGTGATGTAAGCGGGATAGAGCCCAGCCAGTCCACTCTGGAGAAAGTGATGTAAGCGGTATAGAGCCCAGCCAGTCCACTCTGGAGAAAGTGATGTAAGCAGGATAGAGCCCAGCCAGTCCACTCTGGAGAAAGTGATGTAAGCGGTATAGAGCCCAGCCAGTCCACTGCTGGAGAAAGTGATATAAGCGGTATAGAGCCCAGCCAGTCCACTCTGGAGAAAGTGATATAAGCAGGATAGAGCCCAGCCAGTCCACTCTGGAGAAAGTGATGTAAGCAGGATAGAGCCCAGCCAGTCCACTCTGGAGAAAGTGATGCAAGCAGGATAGAGCCCAGCCAGTCCACTCTGGAGAAAGTGATATAAGCAGGATAGAGCCCAGCCAGTCCACTCTGGAGAAAGTGATATAAGCAGGATAGAGCCCAGCCAGTCCACTCTGGAGAAAGTGATGTAAGCAGGATAGAGCCCAGCCAGTCCACTCTGGAGAAAGTGATATAAGCAGGATAGAGCCCAGCCAGTCCACTCTGGAGAAAGTGATATAAGCGGCATAGAGCCCAGCCAGTCCACTGCTGGAGAAAGTGATATAAGCAGGATAGAGCCCAGCCAGTCCACTCTGGAGAAAGTGATGTAAGCAGGATAGAGCCCAGCCAGTCCACTCTGGAGAAAGTGATGTAAGCAGGATAGAGCCCAGCCAGTCCACTCTGGAGAAAGTGATGTAAGCAGGATAGAGCCCAGCCAGTCCACTCTGGAGAAAGTGATGTAAGCAGGATAGAGCCCAGCCAGTCCACTCTGGAGAAAGTGATATAAGCGGCATAGAGCCCAGCCAGTCCACTCTGGAGAAAGTGATGTAAGCAGGATAGAGCCCAGCCAGTCCACTCTGGAGAAAGTGATATTTTACATGGGTTCTTAGATACAGTGACTAGAATTTGCTGTGAAATTCTGAAATTTGCACTGCTATGCACCCGTTTCCTCATTTTGTTGATACTATCAGATTTAATGTGTAGGTCCCATGGACACGGAATTTATCACGTATTTGGCGATTACTCACCTTCTTTTTTTGGCAATTTCTGCCAAAATGAATGTTCTAATGGAGAGTTTTGATTATAGAAACATAACCAAGAAAGCTATTCCTCTCCCATCATGCTGGATTCCCTGTGTGATCCCCTCTCCTGACCTCATTTTCTCTACCTCTCTCTGCTTAGATTCAATTTTTCTTTGGGAACTGGTTTCCTCTGCGTTCTCTCAGCTTTCACCTGGTCCACAGAACCTCTTCAACATCTAAGTGTCCAGCAGCTTAGTGTCCTGATTACAATATGCTAGGATAAGAGTCTTAATTGTCTTCACCTCTTCATTTTTTCATACAATCCAAATAATTTATAGGCCACTGGGAGGTTAGCGGAGCTCCACTGATCAAGTTATCATATTGGTAATGGTAGAAGGTGGTTTGTGGCAATGTGACTATTCCAGACAGCTTCAGCAGAAGGGCCTGAGGAAGGCCAGGTGATACTTAGAGTTCTTGTTTTGTAAATTTAGGGATTGGGATCAACACACTTTCAAAGATCCAAGTACAAAAAGAATAATCAAATTCCTCCCAGAATAGATTATTATAGTCTTATACCCTATGTATTGACCACCATTGTAAGCTAGAGAGAATGCTGAGTTACATGCATTTTTTTCTGTTATGTAAGACATCAAGTACAGAGATGTTTAAATATTTCATTGATAATCTTGATTACACAGTTTGCCAGCATGTATATCACAGTCATTGTCCATGTTATCAGATATTAATGTAAAACTAGATGAGGAGCTACCCTGAAGACATGTTATCATTTGTAAAAAATAAATCTTTAAGAAGAGAAAATCGCAAGCACACAAAATATTTAAATATAACTGAGAATTAAAACCTTGAACATATACGGGAAAGTTTGTTTACCAAAGTCATGCCAGTGGTCAAACTATTACAGTATGATGTAACAGTGTCAGCAGAATACAGTCATTTTATGAGCTAGGAATGAAGGCACTCTCATGAGGTGGTCTCGATTGGAGAAGGCTAACAGTAGATAGCCTTGAACCTGAGTGGTTAGTGAACCTCATTGTCCTTGAGTGAGCAGTTGCCTCCGTCTTACTAGGAGCCCTCCCCTGGCCTTGCTTGTGTGTGTGTATGTGTGTGTGCACGCTTCATTTTTGAGGGGAGGTGATAAACACTGATTTAAGACCCAAGTTCTATTTTTGATTCTGCTGTGACCTAGGGTAATTTAACTCCTATATGCCTTACAGCTCTAGGTGAAAGCACTCTAGTTTTCAAAGTGCTGTAAAAATGCATGGTGGTATTGTTAGCTCTAGCAACTCCTGGAAATTAATTGGCTCTTGAATAAAAGTAAATTATGTTGGAATAACTTTGATCCCCTCCACCTCAAAAAGTAAGTAATTCTTCATGGCGCCAAAACAATAAAGCTCCTGGGAAGCTAAGTTTTGTCAGCTTTTAATAATGTCGAAGCACCACTATACTAACCTTATTTCTATCTCTTTTTAATGCTGCCTGTTAGTATACGCTCCATTCAGCATTCAATTAGCATGCCTGCTATGAGGTAAAGTATGTTTTT